TGGACAAACAATATGTTGGATGGGGGACAGAGTAAGAAGGAGAATTGGGTGACATGGAGTGAAAAGTCTGGCTGGATCCAACCCATACAGCTGCCTCCTCCCTCCAAGTACTGGTGGGCATTTGGACATAGCTATTTCCTATTAAAATTCATCAGGGAGATAGTAACAGCCATTTTTTTAAAAATCACTCTGTTTCCTCTGAGTAGCCTCAGAGGAAACTTGAGGCAAGAAGAAGAGAAGAGATTGGATTTATACCCCGCCCTTCACTACCCAAAGGAGTCTCAGAGCGGCTTACAAACGCCTTTCCCTTCCTATCCCCACAACAGACACCCTGTGAGGTGGGTGGGGCTGAGAGAGCTCTGACAGAAACTGCTCTTTTTCAAGGACAGGTCTTATCAGAACTATGGCTTGCCCAAGGTCATCCAGCAGGTGCAAGTGGAGGACTGGGGAATCAAACCCGGTTCTCCCAGATTAGAGTCCTCGCACTTAACCACTACACCAAACTGGCAAAAGGAGAGGTGGAGTAAATATATTTCAGCAAACTAACTTGCTCAATGAAATGGTAGGATCCACCTCACTATGGACACTCAACTATAAAGAATAAGATTAGTATTCTGCATTGGGTGCTCACTGGCTATACAATTTAATGTTAGGGTTTTTTTTGAGAAAACAGCAAAATAAACACATACTTACAACAGCAAACTTGATCATGTACTTCAAGAAAAGTATCTAAACCTTAAAACCTTTAACATTGCTTTTTTGATCTCCTTGTTTCTTATACTGTAAATCACCGGGTTCATCATAGGTGGAACCAAGGAATAGATCACAGTATATAACAACTCCTGCCACGATGGGGTGTTAGAGATGGGCTTCAGGTAGGCAACACATCCAGTAAATATAAATGTGGAGCAGACAATGAGGTGGGGGGTGCAAGTGGAGAAAGCCTTCTGCCTCCCCTTTGTAGAAGGCAATTTTAACACTGTGGTGAAAATGTGTGCATACGATACAAGGATATAGACAAAACAGCCCAGCAAAAGGACAATTCCAATCACAACAGCAGTCATTTCAATTAGATTTCGGTCAGAACAAGTCAATTTTATTACCTGTGGGATTTCACAAAAAAACTGATTGACAAAATTAGAGCAGAAATGTGTTGCAAAAGTTCCAGTGGTGTGCAATCCAGCATACAGAAAACCAGCAATCCATACACCAGCCAGCATTTCAGTGCAAGCCTGCCAATTAATTACCATTTCATAACGTAATGGATTGCAAATGGCCACATACCGGTCATATGCCATGACTGTCAGGATGCAGAAATCAGATGTTACAAAGAAGAGAAAAAAGAAGACTTGAGCAACACACCCTGGATATGAAATGTGCCTGGTATTCAGGAGGGAATTGATCATGGATTTGGGGACAATGACTGAAACTTGGCCAAGGTCTTGTATGGCCAAGTTCATCAGAAAGAAGTACATAGGGGTGTGCAGGTGATGGTCTAAGGCGACTGAAGAGATGATGAGGAGGTTCCCTGTGACAGTTGCCAAGTACACCATGAGAAATAGAGTGAAGTGTAGCAACTGCAGTTCCCGAACCTCTGAGAATTCCAGGAGCAGAAAATCAGACACGGCAGATCTGTTGAACATTTTTCAGTACCATGTTATGTAATCCCTGTAAAAAGAAACACAAGCAAACAGTAAGAATTACAATCTCTTATAGTAGTAATTTGAACTGCTGCAGCTGAATTGAATGACAATGACCACATTTCTAATCTACACTCTTAGTTCCTGTCTTCAGTGTGAAAAAAGAAATTGCACTTCCATAATACTGAAGTCAAAAGTGGCGCCTCATGGCAGAAACCCCTCTCCAGGTGC